GTATGAACTGATGGCTCTATCGCGCCACAGAATCAAATGCTGTTAAACAGAGAGAGTGCACTGAAAAGACGGAAAGGAACGTCCTCATTATTAATCAACAATGATGTAAATCTTCATATGAGTTTTGTATGATGAGTATGAACTTGAAGTTTTCAAGAGGGAGACGTGGCGATCGTATAATGATTGAATTTCATTTGAAATTGCGACCGAATATTGGACTCATTGGATTTCCGAATGCCGGTAAATCGACTTTGATGAAGGCGCTCATACCTGAGAAGAAAACGGTTAGTCAAATTTAGTATGCACTCGTTTGTATGGTCATTTATATGCCTTTTTCATAGTTCTTTATATCAGCTTTGTATATTTTGTGAAAGAAGAAGCGTTGTCTTGACTCAAAATTGTTCAATTTGTTTATCTGATGAGGAATCTAGTTCATGGCATCTGAAAAAGAAATTCAATTTTGAAATTCAATTTTATGTTTCCTGATCGTTTTTCATATGATATTACAGATTAAAATCGCCAGTTATCCGTTCACCACTGTAAAACCTCAACTATGCTATATTCGTCGATTCGATAATAGCAACAATGACGATACACAATCTTCATCGTTGAGTGATGCTAACTCAACGCAGGATTACACCGATGAATTCAGTCTTTCAATTGCCGATCTGCCAGGTTGATTATGGAGAGCTTCGTCATTCATGTGATCTCAGAAAATAGGTATTCATAAGCCCAAAAAATGTGACTGATTAACAAACAACAGAAAACGATTGCTTCAATGAAAGCTAAATGAATTTTGTGGAACTTCGGTGAATTGATTACTTACTCAGTTGTTTCGTGGACAGTTAGTAATATTATATATTCTGGAAGATGCATTTTGGCTAGTTCAGAGAGCGTTTTGTCATATCCTTCAGTTCTGTGGAACTGGTAAAAAAATTCACTCCCATTTCAGGTATAATCGAAGGTGCAAGTTCGAATCGTGGAAGAGGATTATCCTTTCTAAAGCATCTCGATCATAGTGATATGCTTCTTATGGTAGTCGACGTTACTGGCTTCAAACTTGACGCTTCACCAACTGAGCCATTCAGGTGTGTACCACCACCCTATCAGTAGTATATGTGTGTTTCAGTCATAAATACCAGCTGTTTTTCGTACCATTTTTCATCTTATACTCAGTTAATTGATGGAGTGGTACCAAATGGATGAAGCTGAATTTAAGAAGTGCATTAGAGACAGTGGCGTTGTTGAACATTGAATTGGAGCGATACAATCCTTACTTGACACAAAAACCAACCGTTTTGGCGATTAACAAAATCGATTTACCCGATGGAGAAGAGGTCGTTTTGCACTGTATTTGATCTTTTTACGAAACCTTTCATTCTCAACTTCTCAAATTCCTCTCGTCATAAACGCGATGATTAATCNTCTGTTTCAGTCATAAATACCAGCTGTTTTTCGTACCATTTTTCATCTTATACTCAGTTAATTGATGGAGTGGTACCAAATGGATGAAGCT